TATATATATAATATGGATCACTAACTTCCTGTCATTGTCAGCAGATAGAAGGACCCCACACAAAACCAGAACATCTTCTGCACCGTCCTCCTCCTCTGTCAGCCACGCCTCCTCTTCTTCATCCCTCCATTTCCTTCTTGTTTCTCCATCCACCCTCTGCCCCCCCTCCACCTCTGTCCCCACACCCTCCTGCTCTGACAGTGATAAATGGAGGCTCACAGAGATGACAGCATCATTACTCATTCTCAGCAGCGACACCACCTAGGACAGAAAGAAGAAAAGAGAGGAAGAGGAAGGCTGAAGGACGGGATAAGAGAGGAAGATGTGGATGGAGGAGAGGAGCTCCTGCTGAGGGTGTTTTTTTTACGATTCAGAGCCCTAAAACCTCCAGAGGAGGTGATGCTGAGGTGTTTATTAGAGTTGAGAAAAAGTAGAACAGCTGTTGATGCTCTCTGCAACCTGGCAACTGGAGAATCATCCGTTTTATGAAGCAGGTCGTTGCCTTGTTGGAGAAACCGTGTCTGCCCATGTTCCAGCTTCATACCATAACCTTCGTCTTCCAGGATCATCGTGGGTCAAAGGGTCACCACCAAGACCGCTGTGATCAACCTGAGCAGCTCTACTTCAACATCTCATGTTGGACTGAACTGAACCTTCAACGAAAAAGAAAGTTGCTCAAATCAAACAATCAAATAGAGCAAGACTAGTCTAGAGAGGCAGGGAGTACCTGGTATGTACCTTGTAAGTACTGTGTGTGTACCATGGTATCTGGTATAGAGCCTGTAAGTACCAGGCATGCACCCTATAAATACCAGGTGTGTATCATAAGTATTTGGTATGTACCTGGTAAGTACCAAGTATGTACCTTATCCTGATGCATGTTCAATAATCCAGGTAGAAAAAATCTAAATAATAAAACAAAGTTAAGTCAGGTCCTCTGGATGGGTTCCAAAACAAAAGTGAAAAGTTTTTTTGTTTTGTTTTTTGAACCCGTCCAGAGGACCTGACTTAACTTTTTTAGAAGTATGTACCTTGTACGTTTCTGGCATGTACCGGTACATAAGTATCCTATGTATTTACCTCGCACGCATTATCAGGTATGCACAAGTTTTGTAGCCCAGTATCCATCCATTTTCTTCACGTACGTCTTCCTTTTTGGGTCGCAGGGGGTCACCGGTGTCCATATCCAGCAGTCACTGTGCATAGGGAGGGGGACACCCTGGACAGGTCTCCAGTCCATCACAGAGACACAAACGAGACAATCATTCACTCTCTCGCTCACACCTGTTTAGCGTTACCAATCAGCTTAACATGCATGTTTTTAGTCCGCGGGAGAAAACCCACGCATGTACAGAGAGAACATGCAAACTCAACCCGGAAAGGCCCTGGGCTGGGATTTGAACCAGCGACCTTCTCTCTGAGAGGTGGCAGCTCTACCAACTGTGCCACTGTACCCAATACCTGGTCTGTACACAGAAAGTACTGAATCATATGAGATTTTACCACCAAAAGGGTATAAAGTCTTATTCCACTGCATTAATGCAGACTCAGTGAACACACACACACTTGGGGGTAACTCATGGGCACAAGTCAGAGCAACAAATGATGTGTCACAAAAAGAAGGAGACGAGTTAAAAGAATAATTCCCCTCCGTCCTCTCAGAGGGAAATGAGCTGCAGAAATGTGGAGGGAGAGAGGGAACGTGGGATGAGGTGGTGCAGAGTGATGGAGAGGGAAGTGTGTTCCGTGTCAGCTTGATAAATGTGGTGCAGGAGCCATTGTGTTGGTGGAGGAGTTGGAGGCCACCAGATAACACCGGAGCAAGGCCCGGGCTGTCCCACAAACACACACCAACAAACACGCCCACACTTAATGACCTTGGAATGACTTTATCTGCTGCTTCACTTTATCGTCAAATATTAAATTAGGATTTCTGTTTGCTCCTGGTGCTGCCCAGCTGCTTCAAAACACAATTATGATTGTAACGTTGGCACAAGCACCCCGAAGAAATGTGCACAACATGCAAGAAAGTGAGCAACAACTGTTGTTCTGGAGCAGAATATAATAAATAAAAACACAAACAAAACAACAAAGGTTGGAGGTTAGTTATGCACGTGTGGTGCCCTCTAGTGGTTTGGAAACGAAATGTTTTAAATTTTGAAACAAAAGAAATGAATAAAAGACCACTCTACTCCTGACACAATTTAAAAAAACTACATTTCATCTTAGAATAATTGACAATAAAGTAAGAAAGTAATTTCAGTGCATAAAGCTGTAAAAAAAATCACAATAATTCAGATATTTTGTGTGTATTATCTGTGTAAAAACCCTGCTGTGTGACCTTTGAGCCCTCAGGTGTCGGCAGCAGGAACCATCAACCCTTGGTGGTTCGGTGACTTTGTAACTTTTATACTTTTTTAAATGTTTAACTTAATTCAAATATATTGTCCACACACTGACATCTCTGAAATTCCTTCCAAACCATTGTTAGTTTATTTTTAAATCTGCTTCAACATACTGGCTTTTTTGTTGTTGTCTTATGCTACTTTTAGCTTTCAGCTACTGTTCAAACATTTTTAGGTCGTATGCTCCTTTTAATTAATGCTCTTTTAGCTAGCCTTTCGCTGCTTTTACCAACCATCCTTTTTAGCTTTTAGACAGGCTTAAGCTACTTTTTTCATCTCATTTGCTACTTTTAGCTACCCTTTTCTGCATGTAGCTCACATTTGACTACTTTTAGCAACCATTTAATTCCTTTGAACTTTTAGCTAGCTCTTTTACATTTAGCTGTTAGCTAGCTGTTTGCTAATTTTAGCTTTTGTTCTGCTACATTTAGC